CCCTTTTAACCCTAGAACCCCAGAAACCCTAAACCCTAAATCATGTGGGCCTTCCAAACATTAAAGCGGGAAGATTGAAAGAATATAAACTGAAATCATTCATATTCTTTCAAGGGGGCATTTTGTTAGTGGCAAATCGAGAAAAGCGATCGAAATCGAAGGAAAGAAATGTGACTCGATAAGATAAACAAAAATTCATTCGATGTCTAATTAGAAATACGTAGCATATAGCATCGAGAAGCACAATCGAGAATCGAATGAATAATAATCAAATGACTGTTGTCGAATAAAAACTAAGTCATATAAGACCAGGGTTAAAAAGGAATCGTAAGCAATTCGAAGTTCTCGAAAAATACAGAATCTAGAGTAAAGAAAGCCAATGTGGACATCGAGACTTTGGCCAAATCGTGAAAGGAAGTAAGTCGAATGCACGTATAAAGAGCAGTTTTGAAATCATGGGAAAAAGTCGGAGATCGTGAGAACGTGGGAAACTATAGAAGATAAACTGTCATACGCACGTAGAACGTGGTAGCAGTCGCGTTAACTGCTCTCGGAAGGCTTGAAGGATGCCCTATAAATAGAGCAAAGGAGGAAGGAACAAGGGGGGGGAAATTGGCAGAGAACGAGAATCGGTAGTGAAAAGTCTACCGGAGAAACGACGAACACCATGAAGCTTCCGGCAATCTGGATTTCCTTGCTCACCGAGTACATTTACCGCTTTCTGTATTTTCCTTGGTAATTTATTTTGATGCAACTTAAATGCAGCAATTTTATGTTTCTGTATTTTCGATTCCTTGTCCATTTAAATTCAATGAAAATTTAAGTTTATGCATTTAAGTTTCCATGTTATTTAATGTTCTGCAAATCTCGATTTCCTGTCACTTACTTTTCTTGCAATCACGATTTCTTGTCATTTATATTTGCACTATTGTCGATTCCTCGTCATTTACAAATTGATGCAAATTTGGATACTCGCTCTTTACATTTTCTTGCAATTTAACATTGTTTCTTGATTTGATACTTTTACTGCTTTCGATACTTTAAAATACAAAATACCAAAAATAGCATTTTCGATATCCTGTAATTTTCGATTCTCATACATGTTTTCGATTGAAAATCAAATTGCTAGCCTAAGTAAAAAGAGCTTACGTGGGAGGATTTCGATTAAAGACCAAAATACCCTTAGAATCGAAATCGATCGAAATTCCACCAGAAACACTTTCACACTACATTATCATCATCTTCTTCTTTTTTTTCTTTATCTTTTATCTTTCTATGCATATATACCTTGTTATCTTGTTCAACTAGTATTTTTAAAATGCAATCGGATGTTATATATAAGTACTATTTTTCGGTAAGGATTCAAATTTTTAGTTTTTTTATTTTCAAAAGCAAGTCCAATATTTTTTCTATTCATATTTATACAATTTACTTATCTATTTTACTAGGATTAAGAAAAAAGAGTATTAATGCAATTGATAATAATAAGTTTATTAATATTCATAAAAACTTTTCTAAAAAAGTTCAATATAAATTTTAGTTTATTCTTATAAACAATTTATTCTAAGACACCCATTTTTTGGGATAACGAGTGCAATTGTGTATTTATTTCTATATCAAATGATAGTCCTAATCCTAATAATACAAGTGTCACGCGCCACGTGAAGGGCTTGCGTGTGGGACAATAGCTTCGTGACCAAGGAATACGCGCATGACATATATCATCTTCGTTTTTTCTCGAAACCTAACCACACAACATAACTGCACCACGCGAGACCAAGTCGTACTTGACACGCGCCTTGCCAATGTAGACCCAGTCCTATATTGATTTAGTCACCTGACAGTGACAATTAACCACAAGACCCACCCTCCACGTGGTGATGCATGCACCCTAGTTCCCCAACTTCTCAACACACAGCCCCATTTTCCCACATTCAATATTTCATCACATTTTATTTTTTACTGCGACTACTTTTCTTTTTATGGCTTGTTTTCTGTTTGGTTCTCACTTGAAAAACAGACACAATGAAAAAATAAGGTTAACAATTAAAAAAATATATTTATTTATTTATTAAGTATCATAAAGAGTAAAAAATAATTATTTAAAATTTTCATAATTTAATTAATTTAACAATGATAATGAACAATTAAAAATATACATAAAAAATAATATATAAATATTATTAATTTTGATTTTTTTTCTCTTTTCAGTAAACATACTATATTATTTATCTGTTTGATGTTTTTTTCCTTTCCTCTCAATGAAGTTATTAGTAAAGAAGCAATGTGATGTAATATACACTATTACTTTGTGACTTTTATATTTATTTTCTAACTTAACAATACCATGATGTAATTATGCATTTATTTTTTTAAGTTTTAAAAAAAAGTTTTAATTATAATTTTTTCTCAATGTCAAAAATAAAGTTTAATATAATAATCAAAATTTATAGTATAAAAAAATAATATTAAATTTTAAAAGGCTAGAAACATAAGACTATTGAAGTCCCTGCTCTCCAACTTTTTGACATCTAACTTAATCTCCATGAAATATGAAAGGTGAGAAAACCTCGTATCTAATACTTTTGTTAATGACTATAATGTTAAAATTATATTATTAAAAAATATTTTATTAAAAAGTAGATAGCTAGATTCCTGATTTATTTGTCCAAGAAGGACTTTTAAGAGAAAAGAATTTGAAGAAAATGAAACTAATTTTTTTCATAAATTAAAAAAATATATTTGAAGAAATTATATAAGATAACTTCTATAAAACTAATTTTAACTTTGAAAAACTTAATTTATATTTTTTTTATATTTTTGAAATCTTTTAAACAAATTTATCCAAAAAAATAATAATTTAAGAATGAGATTAGTTTAATTTAATAAAGAATAACATTTTTAATTAATTTAAAAATTTATAATAACTATTCAATCTTTATTTTACAAAAATATTATATTTCTAAAACTATACAATTTTTTTTAAGATTTGAATCCTTTATTCGTATTTTTCAATATCTGAGTCAATCCTAGTGTGAAACTAGTAAAAAGTATATTATTTTTAATTTATTAGAATATTTAATAGCTTAGGGTGTTTTCATACGACCTTTCATTAGAAAAGATTAACCTTCAGCCTAAGTTCCTTAATGACATGTTTAGTTTGATGATTAGATTTTGTACGAGCATGTTTGAGTGTCATGTGTCAAAGTCCTCCTATGAAGTTATATTTAAGAACTAACTAACCAAGGAGACGAAACTAATTATTTTAAACAGCAAAATAGTATACCAAGTTAGAAGATATGAAATTGCAAGGGTTTACATTTTGTTTGAATCCTAAAATTTTATTGAATTTCTATAAATTGTTTTGATTTGGTTGAATTATTACAGTTGATGTTGTTAGAGAGTATGTGATTGTGGTAAAATTTTAAAAGTTGAATATGGGTTGATAGAAATGCACTTGCATGGTAATGTTTTTTGTATTAAAATTTATTAGGTAAAACTTGATTAGTAATATAATTAGAATTAAATTAATAATGAATAAGTAATATCTACTAACTCAATTCAAATAGATTAATTGGTTTTGAATTAGAAAAGTCTAAGATGAAAAAGAGTATTTAGAACTTGAGGTTACCCAACCTTAAGATACTCATGTTTTTGAGTAATAAAAAATGAATTGAAAAACTTTGACCAAAATTGGGACAATTTTTGGGATTTTACAGAACATATTTTCTATATAATTCTTTTAAATTGAAAATTCAAAAGGTTTTTTAAACTCATTAGATAAGAAGGGAAATATCAATTAAGTAAATCTCTTGATGAGAGTTTAAACATGTGTCTAATTCATTGAATGAATAAATTCGTATTTAGACAAAGACAATGTTATTTAATTTTTAAATAACATATTTTTAAATTATTCTAAATTTTATTCTTATATTTTATAAATTGTTATATTTTAACAAACTTAATATACTTCAATACTTTTATGGTGAGATGAATGATGAGTGGACATTTCACGTATATCTATTTATGTATATATGACCATATGATTGTGTATGATGACAAATTAATTAATAAGATGAATATGATGGTGTTATAGATTACGGTATGATATAATATGGTAATTATTAAAGAAATATTATTATAACAGTACGAGTAGTACGTGAAATAAATTGACTAATTCAATGAAATAGTTTTATTTTATTGGTATTTAAACTACATATATGAAAATGTCAAATAATAAAAGTTGAAATGATTCCTTTTACTTGATTCAGGGTTTGTATTTACCAATAACAAATAAGTTTTTGAAATTTATCCTATCAAATGAGTGTATACAATGTTTCTTTATATACCTTTATTATTGAATAACTTTGACAATTAGTGTGACTAATATAGATATTTGAGTTTTGAATTTAATTCATAGTCTCAAAAGTAGTAAAGTGTTTGTTTTGTTAGAATAAATTTGTATATACATGCGAGGTAATTTGGATTAACAATATGGTATACAAGTGAGATTTATAGACCTATGATAATATGATTTTGAATTTGAATAAGAATAAAAAATATTTTGATTTGATTTTCTTTTTCATACTAGCTTGTCTTGGTGTTGATTTATGTTATCTTAATTTTGATTATGATGGATTTTTGTGGAAATATACCAAGAAGATGTTGTAAATGACATACCTTAAGGTTAATAGGTTAAAAAATGAATTCGGTAAAAGATTTGGTGTATTTTTTTTTCTTTTAATATATATTATAAGATCTTTTAGAGTGACTAACACTTTTTATTTTATGTAGAATTTCAACTTATATTTGAATTCCTAACAATTTTTTTTAAGTGTAATTTTATTTTACATTGGATTTCCTCCCCTTATCGATTTTAATATCATTTTTAAATATTCTTGAGGGAGACTAATACCAAGAAAATTCATATTAATGGGATGTGAGTCAAATATGAAACTATCTTTTATTCAAAATATTTTAAGAGTAGGTCATAGATTAAATTACTCAAATTTTTCATTTTTATTTAATATAAGATTTTAACTCATATTTAAATTTCTAAAAAAAATTATATAAAAATAAAAAATATATATAGTGATAATATATTTAGATATTATAAATATATATTTAAGTTTGTGATTTAAATAAAACAATAATATTAAAATTATTAGACTAAATAAATTAATTCATCTTTTACACTAATAACATAATAATTTAAAAGATATAACTATTATTTATTAATTTAATTTGACATATATATAAATATATATATCAAATTAAATTAATAAATAATAAATAATAAATATATAAACAACGATTATATCTTTTTAATTATATTATACTTTTTTTTTAAATATGTAAATTTTTTTACTTATTTTTATTTAAGAATCATTTACTTATTTATATAAATACTTTTCTTTAATATAAATATAAATATACATCCTTTCTATGTATTTTTTCTATTTTAATTTCTTTTCCTTTTTCTTTTCTTATCTCTTTATATATTATTTGTTTCTCATTTTTAATATTTCGTAATATTAAGGTGAGGTGGGTAATAGTTATTCTCTCCCTTTTCTATCTATTTTATTTTATAATATATTTTTCTATAGAAAAACTATCTGTTATTTAAAATCAATTATAGAATATATATATATATGCAAAAAAAAGGAAGGGGAAAATAACAGTGAATTATCGACCAAGAAACCGTCACGGCGTTACGCAATGATGCTGTGTGTGTCATATCCGTTTTTTTATGTTAAATAAATGAATGCGATTTTTGAACCACGCATTTACTTATAAAAGAAGGATCTTATCCAACTTTTCTTTTTTCAACATAAATCATTTTACTTAATAATTAGAATTTAAAATATTTTAATTAACTAAATTGTAAGACTTATAATTAATTTTATCAAGATTGATAACTTATGCAGTATCTAGATTCTAATATTATTTTTACCAGCAAATTATTATTATTATTTTCATATTTATTATTATTAGTAAGATTTTATTAATTTCTTAAATAGTTAACGTTGCTTCTGGAAGCAATGGGTGCTGCACGTGTCACTAACTTTTATTATTATTTTTAAAAAATAAGAATCGATGAAAATAGAATGATACCTGTGCTAATCTTACTATAATAAATAGAAAACAAATATTTTGGAAAAAAAAATGGTTCCCTCCTACGAAAAGTACTTCAAGATAAACTTAAACAATTGAAAAAATTCAAATAAAAAAAAAATCTAATGTCTCATTCCAAATTCCCAAAAAGTATACTATTTTAGAAGTTAAATTTGCAACAATTATTTTAAAAGTTAAATTTAAAACTATACTATTTTAGACACACTATAACTTCATATATATTTATTATCTTATAATTAATACTAATGAGTTATAAAGACATTAGGTATATTATTATGAAATTCGTATACTAATTAATACCTTAGGAATATTAATATATTTTAGTTACTTTATGGCTAAGAAATAGGACTATATGTTCATTTAATTTTTTTTTATAAAGATAAATTAAATTGGATTTAGAAGGATTAATGTAACAGTTTGAATTGAACCAATCAATACCTGGTACGAGATATTATATTGCCACCTGTTCCAACCGTGTGCCAAACCTTGGCCATCACACAACCTTAACTTCCGCTAATAATAAACCATCAAAGGTAATAAATTTCTCACTTCCTCTTATGGAAATAACTTTTAACAAAATCATTTTCTTTTATATTTTATTTTAAGCTTTTTCCTCTTTTTCTTTAGTTTTCCCAACAACCATTAAACGCGGTCCAAATTCCGATTATCCCCAGTATATAACCCTCCTTCTGCGTTCGGAACCCTCGTCCAATTTCCTCTCATCTTCCTTCACTCCTCTGTCTCGTCGCTCTCCCAAGTTTCTCACTTTTCCCACATTCTCAATCCACTCTCCCATTCCCAACTGGGTCCCAACCCTATTCGAATTTCGTTTCAGGGGTTTTCCCAATTCTAAGTTCTGCACTTTACCTTTTTTGCAGTGGAATTTCTCATTCCTGGGTAGTTGAGTTCAATTGTCTCTCATAACGCTTTCAAATTGGAGAGGAAGTGTCTTACTTTTCGATTCAATTTGCTATTTGGCAACTGGGTTTGTGATCTTCCTGTGTGGGTGAGCAAGGTTTTGAAGAAGTGTCCGATCGTGATTTTGGCTGCAACTTAAAGGCTTTTGGAGTTGCTATATCTGCACGTGTGGCTGAATCGGTCGCATTTGTTCATAACTTCTCGCAATAGCAAGGATCGTACGAAACTATAACTGCTATTTAAAACCTCGAGTGTGAGAATGCGTACTACGGCCGAATTTCAAGGTTCTGTTCTGAATCTTCGTGGGGTTCAGGTTCACTCCATGGAGGGTTCAAGCATGGAGCAAGAGCTTGATTTGTTTCAAAAGCGTGTGACTGAGCGGTTCCTGGAGCTATCTTCAGTTGAAAGTGATGAATTGCTCTCTCTTTCATGGATCAGGAAGCTGCTGGATTCGTTTCTGTGTTGCCAAGAGGAGTTCAGGGTGATTCTCCACAACCACAGGGCTCAGGTGTTGAAGCACCCTCCCTTGGATCGCATGGTGGGTGAGTTTTTTGAAAGGAGTGTGAAGGCACTTGATGTGTGCAACGCAATCCGTGATGGGGTTGAGCAGATTAGGCAGTGGCAGAAGCTCTTGGAGATTGTTCTCTGTGCATTGGATCACAAGAGGAGCATTGGGGAAGGTCAATTTCGCCGCGCCAAGAAGGCGCTTGTTGATTTGGCCATTGGAATGCTTGATGATAAGGACTCCAACTCCAGTGGTTCTATAGCTCATAGGAACAGGTCCTTTGGTAGAAACAACAATGGTTCAAGGGATCATAACCATAGCAATAATCAGCATAATTCCTTGGGGCATTTTAGGTCACTTTCTTGGAGTGTGTCAAGGAATTGGTCTGCTGCTAGGCAGCTACAAGCCATTGGGAACAACTTGTCCCCTCCTAAGGCTAATGATCTTGTTGTCACTAATGGCCTTGCTTTGCCTATTTACACAATGAGTTGTGTTCTAGTGTTTGTTATGTGGGCACTTGTGGCCGCAATTCCATGCCAGGACCGTGGGCTGGGGCTCCATTTCTCGGTGCCAAGGCAGTTCCTGTGGGCGGCTCCATTGATGGCACTGCACGAGCGGATCGTGGAGGAGTCAAAAAAGAGGGAGAGAAAGAACACTTGTGGGTTGCTGAAGGAGATTCACCAGATTGAGAAGTGTGCTAGGGTGATCAATGAGTTGGCTGATTCTGTGCAGTTTCCTTTGAGTGAGAAGAAGGGAGAAGAGGTTAGGCAGAAAGTGCAAGATGTTTCAAGGGTTTGTGAAGCCTTGAAAGATGGATTAGACCCTATGGAACGCCAAGTGAGGGAGGTGTTTCACAGAATTGTTCGCAGCAGAACTGAGGGGCTTGACACTCATGGCAGAGGGTAAAAAGTAAAAACACTGTTTGCTTGTTGATGCTTAACTCTACATTGCAATTTGAGATCATATCCTGATTTTGCTCAGATGAGTGAAGTTTGGGAATGACTAAAAGATGACTAGGAGGATAACCAAGGAGTGGTAAGAGGATATGGTGATTTGAATTTAGGATCATTATAATAGTAAGGCATGTAAAGGGGGATTTCTTGTATCTATGAACCACAAAAAATGTATAGGGTTTAGGATATTTGAAGTAGACCTTTGTGCTCTATGCTTTTTACTTTTTTTCTCTTTTTGTGCCGTGATGTGGCTTATTGTATAATCAGTTTTCTCAGTGTTTTGCTGCATCCTCATTATAGCCTATTCTGATCGTTAGTATGTGTAATTCAATACATTTTCCTTATATAGTTCCTGTACTTGAAAACATGTGGTTGGTGTGATTTTTTTGTTGTAGTTGTTGTATAAAATGTAGACACATTCTAACTAAATATACCGTGCATTTTTACATAAAAGCTATGACTCTGAAGTTTGATTCTAGTCAAGAAATTTGAATTGGAGTATTGTAAATGAAAAAATGAAGAGTGTTGTAGAGTTTGTTCTCAAAAATTGCATATGCCCTACTTTAACTCTTCAGTTGTCATAAGTTCACTCTACTTCCCCCCAAATCTACTCAAATATTACTACACACTCTGCATTTGTTATGGCCCCTTTGGCTACTCTCTTCACTGACACTTTTCCTTCCTTTATGTTCATTGTTATGACATGTCTATCGACCCACTAAAATAAATGAGTTGTCTCATATTTTTCTAACAATTCTGATTTCCTCACTGTATGAATGTGTGAAATCAAGGACTGTAGCGATTCCAAATCCGATTTTGGATCTTCAATAACCCAGAAAACAACAACCAGGCATATAAAATGGTGAACATAACAAATTGATGAGAAATAGAGAGAGCTTATGGTGGTAGATGCATACAAAATGAGAGGTAATCCCTTGGTATAAGATAAATTAGTATGAAGATGTAGATGGGATTTGAGTTCATAAAACGAGGTAAGGATGAATGTTTAAGGGTTTGTTGAGGTTGAAAAAGTTAGGAGTGAATAAAGATGTGTTTGGTAGAGTGGAGGGAGAGCACTGATTTTGTGAGTGTAATAAAAGGAGAAGTCAGAAGAAATAATCTATGGAATCTATTCTGTGACATATTTCTATTTATCTTTCTATCTTTTTCTCTATTTCTCACTTAGTTTTACTTCATCAAATAATTAAACATCTAGTTTCATTTCTTATCTATTTATCTTTTTTTCTCAATTTCCATTCTTTCTATTTTTTTCGTCAAAACCAAGTACAAAATTAATGTTCAACCATGTCATGATTGATGTATTGAGACTTTGGTGTCCAAAAAGAAAAATGGAACAAAGTGGTGTCGTGATTGATTTGATGCTATCAGCAATTAGGAACCATGTTTGCTTAATAAAAAAAGATAATTTCTGAATTAGAGTTAATAATGAACAAGTTATTAAGACATAATTTTATCATTACATCAAAATTCAACCTTAATTTGGGTTGAGAAAACATTTTCCGATATATACTTTAGAAAATAAAAAAAAAGGAAAATCCATCAAGAAACGTATTTACTTGTCTTATTTGGACGTTTGTTCCTAGTATTTTATATGTGACAGCAACTAGATAGTGCTATGCTAAAGATGAATCTGTCACAAGATCGAGTTCGATGAATTTGATAAGAGATGGTGTTTGCAGTCAAAGTTCATGAGTGCTTTGACATTGACTTGTTCAATTATCATCTACAATTGAATTTCTTTGCTAGATTATGACATTATTTCTTGGATCTGGTCAAGGTGTGACTTATTTATCACAAGTCAATTTATTCTTTTGTTGCACTATTGGGATTTGTCCTTTTAACATAAAATAACATTGTTCTGCCAAATGTTGTTGTCTCTGCCCTCTTTTTTCTTCAAGTAAAATAGGGTGAAAGTGATTGAATAAAGTGGTCAATGAGTGCGTTACGAGAGTTAAATTTGGTGGAAAATAAGTTAGTCTCTAACAACGTAAATAATTAAGATTTTAATCTACGTTAGAAGAATAATTCACGTTTTGTGTTCAGCTATACAGAGTTTTTTTAGATACAATAAGGATAAATAAAGATTAAATTTCAGATTTCTTTATGTTATTCAATATTCTTATTATTAGGTCAATTCTAGTGGTCAAACAAAACGTTAAGTTTCTTCATTAAGCAATAGTATATTCTTTTATCTCAGGATTCGTTTTTTCATGTAAACATTGTTCTGGCAAATATTAGAAAGTTTTGTTGAATAAGGTAGAATATATAACTCACACTAATTGAAATACAATTTTAAAGAATATTAATATAATTTAAGGATAATTATATTTTTTTACATTATGAATAATTATATTTATTGCTTTAACTCCAATAATGTATGAGTAAGACTGTGTTCAAATTGTAAAGATTTCAAAGGAAAGCAGAGTTGAAGAGTGAGTGTAATATCAAAAGTCAGAATGTTAGTCCACAACAACTTTGACTAATTCTTGGTGAATTTTTATTAAAAAATCTTTTTGAGTTGTGTGGATTTGTCAATTACGTAAAGATTATTTATACCATCCAAATATTTTACAATTACACAATATGGATTCATTCTAGCATCTCATAAAATCCTCGATTAAAATATTTCAATTAGAATTACAAAAGAATAATTACATATTAAAAATCATAATATATATATATATATATATATAATAATAATAATAATAATAATAATGATATTAAAAATAATCTATTGATTTTTGACAAACATAATATTATCGTAAGCAATCTTAAAAATAAATAAGAGTATTATATTAATATGAACTTTGGTAATACTAATTATTATACTAACTTTATATTAATAGGTTTAAATCGAAAGAAATAATTTTACAATTTGAATTTTAAGAGTAATATTAAAATAAACAAACACAATATTTTGGTATTTTAAAATTAAAAAAGGTTAGAATACAACTGGATAAATGTATATTATGAGGATTAGATTTTGTCATCTCGTTAGGTAAACCTTCCTCTTGATGTGAACTTTTATGGACGATTAATCAGTTTTCAATAAAGTAATTTAAGTTTTTCCCCTTTTTCATTGTTATTAATCCTTATTATGGATATTTATACCCCAATCTTTCAAGCATACTTAACTATCTTATTGAATCACAATCTCTTATCAATTCAATATGATAAATATGTCTTAAGTTTAACCATTTAAAGATGATTAATAATTTATTCTTTGTTTCTAGACAAATTATTTATTAGTTGTCTTTTTATAGCTTAAGAACTCAAAAAATTTCTAATATCTTACAAATACAACTAGTTTATGATTTATCAATCCAGAATAATCAATAAGTACAAAGATAAAATTACATTGAAGAAAAGAAATGAAGACTATATATAAATATAATCAAAACATAGAAGAGAGTTTAATGATTACATTTAACCCTAACAAAAGAGAATTTAGTTACTCATGAATTTGACATAAAAGTAAAACAAAATGACAAAGAAGGAGTAAAGAAACATCAATCATCTTGTTGATGAGTCAACTTATAATATTATTTGATCTTGTAACAAATATATGATCATTACCTTTTAAAAATTATACATAAAAATATGTTAAGCTAATAACAAATAATATATTTTTAGGTCATCAATTCACATTACATAGTACATAAATTTATTTATAATAATTAAATCATTACTCTTTCCTAACATCTTTTATAAATTTTATATTAAATTTCAAACTCATATACTAACACATATATACATCAATAATAATTTATAACGCACCACGTTATAACAATACCATTTAGATTACTCTCACATATATAATAATTTATAATAACTCTATATATATATATATATATATATATATATATATTTATTTATTTATTTATTAGAGACTAACTTCATTCAATAAACTAACTCAATGTAAAAAACACACCATAATTTAATAGTATCTTTTTGCTAAATTATCTACGATATGCTTAGGCACATTATCTCATATATATAATAATTTCACATTTAAAATTACCATTCTTTTCCTATAGAGGTGTATCTCGTGAGTGTTCATATAATCACTTGAACAATATATTTTCATAATCAACTCATTTGATTTGATTTTCGATGAACAATATTTAACCACTTAATTCAACATTTGAATGATGTCTCCTCAAGAATAAATCTAATATTCTATTTATATATCACTTAAGTATCTCTTAGTTGCTTTAACAATATACTTACAAAATCAAGCCAATCAATTATGTTTAAATTTTACTTTGAATAATAATTGAATTACTGAATGAGATATTCTAATTAATTTTCTCAAATCATTATGTTTGACTCTTGCTCTATTGGTTATCTACTTAAGTGATAACTAGTTACTTAAACGAAGTACCACTATTATACATACATATTAAGTAGCCAAAACATGGTTTAAACGATGGGACTCACCATTAAAAAAAAAAAAACCTAAAACATATAAAAATGAATACTAATAATCCACTATCACATTATACCAACTATACTCATTTTACTTCTAATCAGAATCATATTTTAAATAAATTCCAATTTTTATAGAAAACATATTTTTAAATATTATTTTTTCTTATCTACATTATTCCAACTCAAATATAATCAAATACACGTAGCGCTCCAAATATTCCTGCAACAACTCCTATAGGTTAAAGAATCATATATCAAAATTAGGCATGACAACGGGCGGGGCGGGGCGGGTTTTGCCTCTCCCATCCCCGCCCCGACTTTTTTAACTATCCCCGTCCCCGCCCCGATCCCCGCCGGAGTTAGGAATTAAGTCCCCATCCCCGTCCCCGCTGGGTTTCGGGTTCCCGCCCCGTCCCGTCCCCAATTTATATTATTTTTAAAAAGATAATTATATTTATAATAAATTAATTTTACTATGTATTTTTATATATAAATAAATATTTATAATTTATAGTTATTATTAATTAAATATACATTTTAATTTATTATATTTATATTAAAATATATATATGTAAAAGAAATATTTAATTATTTTTTATTTATATATATATATATAATATTTATAACATTATTATTATTATTATTATTATTATTATTATTATTATTATCATTATTATACATGTATTCAAATATTTGAATATTTATAACATTATTATTATAATACTGTATTCAAATATTTAATTATACATATAAGTTAATTCATTTTTAAGTTGTCAATATATAGTTTATAAGAAAATATTTAATAAGTTAATTCTTATTTAATTAGTTTGAAGTAATAAAAGTTTAAATTATTAATTTCTTTTAATCCTTTAAAATGTAATTATTTTATTAAGATAAAATTTGATATATGATAAATAAGCATAATAAGATAAAAAAACATGGCATAATAAATATAAATTATAAATAAACTAATATTAGTTACTACTAAGATTGATGTAAAATATTTAGAAAAAGATAAAGAAAAAAGATTAACTTTGTGTTCATCAAATTGGTTGAAAAATTTGAAAAAAAAAACAAATTGATGGGAGAGACTAAGAAAATGTGAAAAACTGAAAGATAAGGGAGAAAATAATATAATAAATTAATTGATATAAAATATTGAGAAAGATAAAAAAAATTAAAAAGTGGGTAGAAGAAAAATAAAAATTGGTGAAATATAAAAAAATAACCTTATATGTAATAGAAAAAGAAAATGAAAAACTTTTAAAATATTAATATTTTAAAATTTAAATTTAAATATAAAGTCGGGCGGGGACGGGGCGGGATCGGGGTGGGGATTGCATTACCCATCCCCGCCCCGCCCCGACTTTTAAAGCGGGAAAACTCGAACCCGACCCCGCCCCGGTCAACTCGGGATTTCCCCATCAAACTCGGGCGGGGACGGGTCGGTCCCCACGGTACGGGTTTAATTGCCATCCCTAATCAAAATCAACTTCCATATCTAAACTTGAACATTTTTTCTACGAATTAAACCAAACCCAAATAAATCATAGAGGAAAGAAAAAACACTATAAACACAAAAGCTTTTGGATATAATTATTCTTCACTTCTCCACTGTCTTGCCTAGTTTAGTGATTTTAGTGAATTCAAAATTTTATAGAAATAAAAGTTGAGTTTATGAAAATAAAATATTTAATCCTTTATTTAGAGTGTTTTCAAAACTATGCTAAACAAATCTTTATCATTTTAAAATATAAAAAACTTTATCTTTTAGTATTTTGTTGAATATTTGACAAACGTACTAATATTATCAATCACAATATAGTATTTTGATTAAATAAAAATGGTTTCACTGAAAATTCCAAATCATAAGCTTACTAAGTGGATTATAACACAAAACTGGTTTTTCATAAATATTTAAATTGAAAATAAATTACAAAGAACTGTAAAGTGTTTTTAGAAAATATTAAATAAAAGAACTTATGATTGATTTAATTCATTTTCCCTCTTTTGTATAATGATTATGTCAAATTAAGAACATCAATTAACCTATCAATGTTGATGACACCTACTTAAATCATTCACATTGATTCCTCAAACATGAAATTCATAGGAAAACCTAATAAACATCGATTTCTCATACATTTAATAGATTTCCCAGCATTAAGTTTAGGGTGTTAAGCAGTTGATACATCCTTTACCATTCCTAGCAATTAACGTAGCAAATATTCTTAACCTGATTTAGGATTTCAATATATATTTTCTAATACATCCCAAACATCAAAGATAAACATTAAAGAGCACAAATGATAAGAATATCAACATCAAGAACATATATTAATATCTCAAAATATTACCAAGATACAAAAGAGTTCAAAGGAAGTGCACCCAATCCTAAGAGAATAAAGTTAGCTACTCATAAAGGTCATTACAATGATCAAATGAAGAAAAATTCAATAAGAATTGAAGATTGGACGAAAATTAGAGTAGATGTCATCTCTATTCTCAAAATCTCGAACTCCCTTTCTCAAAACATGTCTTATCTTTTTATAGAAAAATTTCACGTCATTCGCTTAAGCGAAAATTTTCGCTCAAGCGAGTATTGTTGATTTTCACTCAAGCGAGAATTGTTCGCTTGAGCGATTGAATTCTCGAGAGTTTTAATGTATTTTCGCTTAAGCAAGCGTTTATCTCGCTTGAACGAATTTTAGGTTGAAAATCTTCTTTTCTTTTTCCACTTTTTCGTCAATTAACTTGAAAATTATGATCCTTGCTCTTGTACCCAGGTATTTTTTTAAATTCATCCTACATTGAGAGAAGAATAGATTAAAATCAACATAATTCAAGTAGTTAAATAATAATTCAAAGCATAATTACATCACTTTTTGCCACTTAACATATTTTAAAAATTCATATCCATACAATCTCTCCAATAACAAAAATTTTTGTCCAAAAAAAATGGCTTATAAAAAAGAGATAAGAACAAACCTCTTTCATTTTTTTCTGTTAACTCCCATGTATACCGATTTGGTTTTCCAAAGACCTTTATCCATATTAATGGTTTTTCCTCTTAATTGTTTAGCATGAGAATCATCAATTTTTATTGGTTTTTCTTTGTAAGGTAGATAATCTTTGATTTGTACTTCATTAGACTCTAAGATATGATTGATATCATATATATATATATATATATATATATATATATATATATATATATATATATATATATATATATATATATATACTTAACTTAGATACATAGAATAATTTATGCAAATTTGTCAATTATGGAGGAGAAACTAACTCACAAGCCACTCGACCAATACACTCTCAAAGATATAATATAATTCAATAAACTTAGAAGATAACTTATCAAGTTTGATAGCTCTTCCAATACCCGTAGTAGTTTTAACCCTCACAAGTACATGATCTATGATTGAAAACTTTAAGGATTGTCTCACCTAATATGCTATCTATACACTATCACCACCCTAGTACCAACAGAATGTAATCCTACATTTTCTCTTATACATTATTTCATACGATGTCATCTCAATGCTAGCATGATAATTATTATTATATGTAAATTCTATTAAAGAAAGAATTTCATTCAACTTCCCAAATGATCTAACATACAATATCTCAATAAATCTTCTAGTGAGATTAGATTATCCTCTTAGACTAGTTATCTAGTCCAGGATGATAAATAAAAATAGTCTCAATTTTGTTTCTAAATGTTCTTGTAATATCTTCCAGAATTTAGAAGTAAATTTTATATATCTATCTATCAAGCATTATGTTGAAAGGTATACCATATAATCTCACATCTTTTTGATATATAGAAATATACCAACTTAATATAAATATTATTAAATTAATTGTAAAAAAGGGTTCACACTTTATCAATCGATATGAAATTATCCATATCAAATCATATCCTATCAATAATCATGGTAAATGAATAATTAAGTCTATAACAATGTTATCTCATTTCTCTTATATCTATTTATTATAACATTCCTTCAATTTTCTAATGTTCTATCGTGACTTTCTAAAAGCAACACACTAAGTCACATCTCTCTCTTCATATTTGGCCATTGGCCATTATAAGAACCTGTTTAGGTTATGATACTTTTTGTCATGCCAAAATGTAAATTAAGTATACTTTTGTAACTTATCCAAAATAATCTTTTTCATGAGTATGTATACAATCTGGATTCTTGAATCTCAACACACAATTGGATCCAAAATTAAAATCTTTAACCTCTTTAGTACCTAATAGCTCCATGGTACATCTCAAACCAAGATTCAACTACTTTTATTTTTTATTATTCAAAGAAAATCATTAATTATAGTTGATACTATAGTTAACATGGTAATAATATAACTCTAATCCTAGATTTAGATATTTGAATTACAAGAATTTTCAAAAACTTCATCTGTCATAATGGATATTTAGATTGTCTTTTTGCTTAAACTAGTAACTATAACATTTTTTTTATTTTGATGATAATTCAACTAAAAATCATAATCTTTTAAAAATTTCATCTATTTTGTCTTATATTAAAATGTTCTATATTTGAAAAATACTTTGAATTTTTGTGATCATTGAATATATCAAAATGAACACCATAAGATATATAGTGTCTAAAAACTATTAATTCTAAATCATAATAAGATTAATTCTTCTCATTATTTTTCAATTGCTTTGATACAAAATAACAAAAACCAGCGCAAAACCTAATCCATAATGAGTAGCATGACAATAAATTTAGAAAGTTTCTCTATGTTAAGAATCAATAAATATATATGAAATGGTTACCATGATTTATCTTCACTAATCTTAGAAGTATTTCTATAAATCTTCACTAATAATTAGATAAACTTACAAAATTATTAATTTAAGTAATATGAATATTCCTATTGTAGAATTGCTTGAACCTTTTACATGATCCACATAAATCCTTCTTTTAATATTACACGCCTAAGAACCATATCTTAACCATCCATAATTAACATTTAGATAATCTGGCATATAATTAATATTTTCTCAAAATAATAAAAGCTATAATTAGCTGTCGAAAGCAAAGCTTGAAAAAGCAACTCGAAGAAGTCAATAATAATATCTAAATAAAAATTTAATTTTTAATAATTTTAATATTAATTATATTTATATTAATTTGTATTATATTAAAATATTTTTTGTACTTATTTATAACATAGGTTAATTTTATTTAAGAGTTCTGTATATTTTTTTATTATTAAATTTAAAATGTTGGAAAACTTATTTGTATATTTTTTTAACAGGTAAGAACTTTTTGATTAAAAATTTGTTAAGAAAATATGAAAAAAAGGTTTTTCGTCAAATTTGAGGATTTTTTTAAACTATATTAAAATTTTCATATTTTTTTATAAATTACAAGAAAATCACAAATTAATTTACAAATTTCTTTTTAAAAAAATACAGTATAAGTTTGCTTAATCAATATCAAGATCTAAAAATATTAGAAAAGTAATGTGAATTAAATTTATTATCTTTTGATTATTTAAAATTATTAATAATTAAAGAGTGAATTATTTTAAATAATATAATATAATAAAAAGATTAATGCTTGCAACATTCATTAATATCATATTCTAAACATTTTATTATTATTATTATTATTATTATTATTATAATTATTAAAAATGAGGGTATGTTTTGATTTTATAATTTTTTATTAAGTTTTAATTAATGATAGAATTTGCGTTAAAATTATATTGAATAATATATTATAAGTCAATTTTAATTTAAATATAGTAGAGCATATTATAATATATATATATATATATATATATATATATATATATAAATATAAAAGATTACAAGTATATATTAAAATGAAACATCATGTTATTATATATTATTATAAATATTTTCAATAAAAGTCAAGAATATTAAATTATATACAATGAGTGTATATCATTAATGATATTGATAAATCTTCTCATTTTTTTTTCATTTAATTAATCCAATAAATAAATGATAAAATGAGTTAGTTTTTTCTATTTTATTTCTAGTCTCGTTTAAAAATAAGACGAGACAGTTGACTTATTATAATTAAAACGAATTATAAATATCAGCTTGCCCCCATTAAAAAATACAAGTTGATTGGTTAGAGAGTGTCCGTCAATATTATTTTATATAAAAAATTATATATATATATATATATATATATATATATATTATATTTTAAAATGTATATTTAATTATATAAATAATTTTTAAGTTTATATTTATTAATTAATATTTTTATTTGATAAATAAAAAAATTATTTTATGTGTTAAATTATCTAATTATATTTAATAATTTAAACTTAATTAATTAATATTTATAATTTAAATTATAATATTAAAATATATTTGTATATTTCAACAATACGATAAAAAAATATTTTTAATTATAATTATTTTTATTTTAATATATAAATATTTTTTTAAGTGTACTAGTTTATCTCGGTCTGTTGGACTGTTAATTTATTTATTTTTTTATAACTTTTTAACATAAATACTGAACACAAAAGAGTGTATAGTTCTAAATTCATATAAATCTTTAAGTTTGTACTACTAATAACACTTTTGCTTGTTGCCAATGTCCTTCTGAACCTGCTATAATCTCTTGATGCAGAAGCTCTGGCTCTAGCTCTTTGTTTTTAAACTACCATCTTTAGCCCTATGTCTTGATTTTTTAATACAACACTTTTGTGTTAAATTTTTTTTTTTCAATTAAGTTAGTCTTGTTATATTGATATTTGTGATTGAAACTACTTCTCCTTTAAGGGGTACCAAAAGAATCACATAGATTGGTTGAAAATTTAAGGGTGAATGAAATCTTCTATTAATAATAATTGATAAAGTTAAATAATTTATAAATAGAAAAGATGTGAAATATAATACCTTAAATATTAGAATTTTGATATTATATTATAGTACATGACTCGTATCATATATGTGAGTATTTATTTAATTATTAGCTTTTCTCACAAATTTTTTACAAAATATTGAATGGACCAAACTACAAATTATAAATTAATAAATGATTAAATTACATATTTTATATAAATAAATAAAATATTAATAAATATAATTTTATTTATTGATTCTAAATTTAAAATTAAATTTCAAAAATTAGAAAAAATAGTTTTTTAAGACACTATCATCCACTAGTTTTATAAATATTTTTTACTGGTTATGAAAAATATCCAAATTCATACCGTGACTGAAAATCAGTAAAACTAGTCACTTAGGCTTTCAAATCTTGTTAGGCTATAAAATGTTATTATAGTTTGATTGACAGAAGCATATTTACAGAATGTTTCTATAGAAAATTTGATAATTTCAGGAAAAATAAAATATACTAAAAAAATGAGCTATATGAAGATGGAGAATGCATGAAATTTTGTTATAATTTTATTTGTCTTTTCCATTGTGAATCTTGTTGCGAGTTATGGTCAAAATGATGGAAGAGATGACTTAAATGATATCACTTAAGCGATGGATCATAACTCGAGAGAGAAATTATTTAGTAATGATTAATTTAAACGATATATTGAAACTCGAACAAAAAGAGGATTTTATTTATTGTAAGTATTTTTTCTAATCAGCGTGTTCACTCAAGCAAGATAGATGTAGAGGAGAGATAGTTGATTCGACAAGGTTTTCACTCAAACTGCTGCTAATGCTTAAGTGAAAAGACTTGTTAAGGAAATTTAATTTGTTTTCAATAATGATCTAGAATTGATTGGTGTATGATAGTTAGAGTGAGATGTTTGTGACTTGATTTGATTCAGTTTTCATCAAATAAAATTTTACTGTGGATGATTTTAATCTGAAAGTTACTTTTATTTGAATTTTCTTCATGGTACCTTGGTCTAGCCAATGCTGAAATGATGAACTATGACAATTTTCTTGGCAGGAGCTCATGCTTCCATTTCCAACTTCAATCATATCAGAATCTAATGTCAAAAGATCAATGTCATAAAACATATCAGGGTCCAATAGCATACATAACAATGGAAGGCTTAGAATGAACAATAAATTTCCAGCAGGAGCAGCAATAACAATCACTAACACTCAAAAGAAATGATGTTAATACAGAACTGATTTCACATACAGCAAAGAATTTCACAAAAAAATTCAAAGTAATTTATTACATGCATCCAGAATTAACGTCCTTTAAAGCAATCATATGTTGAGCTTTGAAAACACCAGGTGGCCAAAATGACTCAACATCTTTGTTTGCATAAAAGCTTAATGTTCATAGATGGGCAATATTATAAAGATCTATCAGATCAAACGAAGTGAAGAAAAAAAATTATCATCATCGTAAGTAAAGTATGGTGCACTAAAAATAGTTTTAAAAGGATAAAAGAAAAATTCCCCACATAGACAAGACACCAGTAAGCAGTAATAAATTCATGGAACAGAATAGTTAGCAGGTACAAGCTCTCCATTTGGGTTTGAGTAACACCTTTCAGCATAGCAACTGAGAAAGAGAACACATCCTCCTCACTCATTCAAGGAAGCAGCATTCCTGACAAGAACTCCATCCCTGGATTTTTAAAATGACAAGTACTATGAATTTGTATGAAACCAACATAAAAAAGTTATTAACTGCAAGAATGAAGAAAGTTTAAATTCAAAAATAAAATTATTGGTATTTTTACAAGTTATTTTAGCACTACAACAATCAGTATTATTAATTGTGTAGACTTGGTGAATCATGCCAATATGTTTTTCTTTCTCATAACGTAAAACGTGAGAAGATCCAAGTCATGCATACCAATTTGCTTACCAAAAGAACAAAGATGTTGCTATGTACAGAACAAACAAGCCACTGCACGCGCTTCTCCATTGAATTTCATTGAGTTCAAAATTTGAGCAGAAATGTAAACTTCAACTCACTTTGAGATCAATTAGCCCTGAAAGCAAAACAGGCACACTAGTAAGATTTTCTTCATACAAAAAATGGAAAACTAGATTTAATGAACTCATACTTACCCTTTTCTGGATCTTCTATGCCGAATAAAGAGAAATATTCCCGAAGCAAGAAGGGCTGATCCGGCTATGATCGTGGAAACAATAAGTTTCTTTGACCTTTTTTGGTCCTTCTTCCCTCCAATGGCTTCCTCCTCACGTTCTTTTTGCTCCTCTAACTGTTGAAAGTCTCCTCCATCGGCTTCATCTACTTGCTCATCTGCCTTTTCTTCTTCAACTTCTTGTGTTCCATCGCTTTCTTCTTGAGCTTTGTTTGTGCATTGTTGATCTTCAGGGGACTCTGGCTGTACAACTTTTTCATCTGTTTCACCTTTGATTGATGCTTCACCATCTATTTCAGAGTCGATGTCTGAATCTTGAGATTCATCGTCACAACTAACATCTAGCTTACCCTTTTCTTCAACTTTAAATGGTTCTGTGAAAGATGAACTTGGAAATTTTGACGGCTCAGCAGCTTCATCTGCAATTACTTCTGATGCTGCCTTACTGTCTATGAAGTGAAAGGGTTCTTGTCCTTCTTGCATATGATCTAAACGCTCAGCCTTAGAGTCATCCTCTTTCATACCATGCTTTTCTAATTCAGGTGGTTCTATACTCCGCATTTCTATAGATGGAGACGACAGTTGATTTACTTGTTGCTCATCAATCTCACTTTTTGCTTTTGAATGTGTAGCTATTGCTTGTGCAAGTTCTCCTCCTTTAGAAGTGGTTGCTTCTAGTGCATGCATTGGTCTTTTTCCCTCCCTTCTTTGTTGTACTTCCTCTATCTTTAGAATTTGGTAGTCCTTGGTTGGAAATGATAATTCACGAGGTTCTTTTCTTTGGATTGCTGTAGGTATAGATGACATGTCTTCCTTCTTTGATTTTTCAACTTCTTTCTTTGGAGTCATTGTTGCAGGTTTGACCTCTATTTTAGGTGTGACTTCTGATGATTCCTTTTGATGTTCTCTTTTGCTATTTTCATGCGTTTTTTCCGCAGCCTGTTTGAATCCACTAGCCTTCTCAAACTGAGGGGTTATTTCCCCCATTTTAGGCTTCGTATCTTCTGCTGCTTTAGTTGTTTTTCCCATCTCTCTTTTGATTGGTAGTTTGGAACTGGAAGCCTCTTTATCTTCTTCAATCTTTGCAAACTTTGGCCTTTCTCTTTCTTTCTTAGGAACTACTTTTGCTGTGTGTTCTCCTTTTAACATCCCTTCTACAGCCTTTGTTTGATATCCCTTCTTATCCGCCTTTTCAACATCAACTTTTATATTTTCATCCTGAATCTTGGGCTTTTCATCTTTAACATTTTGAGCTATTATGTATTTCTCTCTTTCAGAAATTGCTTTCAAGTCTCTTTTCTTTTCCATCCTCGGAGCTATAGAGCAAGGATCTGCTACATATTCTTTTTGGGGCATTTCCTTTTGTTTGGTGTCTACTTTGCCAACTCCTTCTGCAACATCTCTCAGCACATATTGTTGATCTCTATCAACAATTTTATCCTTAGGCCTTTCAGTTTCCTCTTGTGTTGTCAACATCTCTTTGCCTTTAGTTAATTGTGGTTCTCTTTCAGGAGATCTTATCTCTAATACTTTTGGATGTTTATGCTCTGGTACATCTTTGCAAGTCATGGAAATTCTTTTGCTCATCCCTTCTTGCAAACATTGTTGATCATTTTCCTTAGTTAATTTTCCCCTCAAACCACCTTTTGCTTCAACTTGTATCTTTTCATATTTCTCTCCTTTTGCATTCTTCACATATTGTTGATCAATTTCTTTACCCTTTTCTTTGACATCTGTTTTCTTGTCCTTACTCCTTTGCTTGACTAACTCTTCTTTGACATCTGGCGCTTCTTCTATCTTTGTTTCTTCCAGTCCCTCTCTTTTAACAGCTAGTGAATCCACCATTTTCGTAGGAAACTCTTCTTTTGCAGCCTTTTCTTCTTGCAAATAATGTTGTTCTTTAACCATCGTTTGGATCTTAGGACCTTCTCTTCCTTTTTGAGTAGACTGCTTTCCTTTTTCTTCAACTTGTATCTTCTCATATTTGTCTCCATATATTTTCTTCTCAGACTCTTCAATTTGTGCATTGTCTTCTTTGACAGCTTGTATTTGCCCCATCTCTAGAAACTTTGGTGTTACCCCAAAATCGAAGTTCTCTTTCCCACTTATTTGTTCACTAGACTTGAGTTTTAGCTTTCTAATTTCTTTCTCACTTCTATCCTCAGTTTCATCCTCGTCAAAAGCCTCATTTGGTTCAACATGCATCTTTATAGATCCCTCTCCTTTCAATTTCACAGTAACATATTCATTCTTATCCTTCTTATTTTGGGCAATTGCTTCCATCACCTGCTTGGGAAGCTTTGCCTGAAAAGTTCCCAACACTTCAAATACAACTTTGACCATATTGTTTGGTACATTTGGTCCATCTATGAACTTTCTTTCAATGTTGGACTCCTCAGTTTCCTTCTGTAAGATCTCAGTTGATGTATTTTTTTGATTAATCTTGCTTGCTTCTTCATTCTTCTTAGACTTTCCTCCTTGAACCTTTTCCATTAAACTTTTTGTTTCAGCCATTTCTTCTTTGATACTTTGTTTTGGTTCTTCCATATATGCAACCTTAAGTCCTCTACTTACATCTTGCCCCCCCACCAGCTTGGGACCTTCTTCAGTTACTTCAACTTTTCCTTCAACAGTTTTACCAAGTACATTATATTGTTCACTACCCCTAATTCCATGCTTAATCTTCTCAACTTCTTGCATTTCGTCTTCTGTTATGTCTTTCTTTGCTTCCTCATGTGTCCTTTCGAGTTCTTCACTCTCACCCTTACCCACAAAATAATCAATTTCTTTGCCTTCTCTTCTGAAAATTTCTTCTTTGATATATTCACTTTCATGCATTGTCTTTGTTGTTAAGTCCCTATTTGCTCCCATAAGAATCATGTTCGGTTCTTCACCTCCACCTTCATCCTTTTTTGTTAAATCCACAAAAGATCCAGCCTCTTTTCCTTTCCTTTTGACCATAACTTTTTTGAATTCTTCACTTTCTTGCATTGTCTCTTTCGTTATGTCCTTCTTTGTTTCTATATGCATCCTGCCGGATTCTACATCTTCGCCCTCTTCCAGCAAATCAATCGCTTCTTCCCCTTCTCCTTTGACCATGGCTTCTCTGACTGCTTCACTTTCTTTTATTGTCTTCATTGTTAAGTCCTTTGCTTTCATACGTATCCTTTTGGGTTCTTTTCCCTCATCAGTAAAGTATTCAGCCTCTGTACCTTTTATATTGATCATTGCTTCTTTGGCATCTTCACTTTCATTCAATTTCACTTTTGTTGAGTCCTTCTTTGTTTCCCTAATTTTGGATTCTTTTTTACCTTCATCCGCAAAATTTTCTATCTCCTTGTCTGTGGTTTTGATCATTACTTTGGCTTCTTCAATTTCATGCATTGTCTCTGTTGCTAGGTCCTTGCTTTCTTCTATATGCATCCTTTTGTGTTCTTCAGCTTCACCTTCACTGCTATCCACCACATACTCAATCTCTTTGCCCTTCCTTTTGATCATAGCTTCATTGACATCATCATTTTCATGCATTCCCTTTTTTTCCAAGACTCTCTTTGTTTCAATAAGCATCCTTATCGACTCTTTGTCTTTACTCTTATCCGCAAAGCATTCAATCTCTTTGCCTTCTCTTTTTACCTTCACTTTGACATTTTCACTTTCTTGCAATGTCTCGTTTGTAAAGTCCTTTTTTGTTTTCATATACATCCTTTTGGGTTCTTCACCTTCACCCTCATCCAAAGAGCATTCATTTTCATTGCTTTCGTTGACATACTCATTTTCTTGCATTGTCTCTGTTGTTAAGACCTTCTTTGCTTCCACATACACCCTTTTAGGCACTTTACCTTCACTCTCCGAAAAATGTCCAATCTCTTCGCCTTTTCTTTTAGCCATTTCTTCTTTCAAACCTTCTGTTTCTTGCATTGACTCTTTTCCCATGTTTTTCTTTGCTTCCATATGCATCATTTTGAGTTCTTCACCATCACCCTTGTCTTCTCTTTTGACCATTGCTTCACTTTCTTGTATAGTCTTTGATGTTAAGTCCTTTACTTCCTGAAGCATGCTTTTGGGTTCTCCATCTTCACCCTTGTGCGCAAAATATTCAGTCTCTTTGCCTTTCCTTTTGACAATAGCTTCTTTGACTTTTTCTCTTTCTTTTTTTGTTTCTTTTGGTAACTCCTCCTTCAATTTCACAAGCATTTTTATGTGTTCTTCACCTTCATCCTTGTCAGCAAAATTTCCAATCTCGTTGCCTTTTCTTTTGACCATTGCCTCTCTGACACCTTCATTTTCTTGCATTGTCTCTTTTGTTACTACATCCTTCTTTGGTTTCATATGCATGCTTTTGGGTTCTTCACCTCCACCCTTATCCACAAAATAGTCATAACCCTTGCCTTCTCTTTTGACCATTGTTTCTCTGAAATCTTCACTTTCTTGGATTGTCTTTGTTGTTACGTCCTTCTTTCCTTTCATATGCATGCTTTTGGGTTCTTCATCTTCACCCTTATCCACAAAATATTTTGTTTCTTTGCCTTTCCTTTTGACCATAGCTTCTTTTTCTATTTCATTTTGTTGCTTTGTTTGTTTTGTTAACTCTTTTATTGCATTCATGAGCATCTTTGTGGGTTCTGCACCTTCACCCTTATCAAAATTTCCTATCTCTTTTCCTTTTCTTTTGATTATTGCTTCTTTGACACCTGTTTCTTGCAATGTCTCTTTTGCTAGGTTCTTCTTTGCTTCCATATGCAAACTTTTGGGTTTTTCACCACCCTTATCCCTAAAATGTTCATTCTTTTTGCCTTCTCTTTTGAGCGTTGCTTCTTGTACATCTTCACTTTCTTGCATTGTCTCTTTTTTTATGTCCTTCGCTTCCACATACAACCTACTGGGTTCTTCCCCTTCACCCTTATCTGCATATTTTTCAATATCTTTGTCTTTTCTTTTGGACATTACTTCTTTGACATCTTCAGTTTCTTGAATTCTCTTTGTTGTTAAGCCCTCCCATGATTCCATATGTATTCTTTTGGGTTCTTCACTTTCACCCTCATCCAAAAAGTGGTCAATCTCTCTGCCTTCTCTTTTATCCATTGCTTCTTCATTTCTTTGCATTGTCTCTTTTGTTGATTCTTTCTTTGCCTCCATATGCATCCTTTTGTGTTGTATACCTTCACTTTTATCCACAAAATATTTATTCTCTTTCCCTTCTCTTTTGTCCATTACTTCTTCGATGTCTTCATTTTCTTTCAGTGTCTTTTTAGTCAAGTCTTTCTTGGCTTCCTTGTGCATCCTTCTGAGTTCTTCGCCTTCACCCTTATCTACAAAATATTCACTTTCTTTCAATTTTCTTTTGATCTTTGCTTCTTCAGTTTCTTTCATTTTTGAAATACTCAACCCTCTGCTTTCCTCAATTGTGCCTTTCGGTAACTGCTGATGAAATTCTTCCCTTATTGTTAACTTTGAATCAAATTCTTCCTTAGCAGCCTTTAATCCATCGTATTCTTTATCTTCAACCCCAGTTTCAATCTTAGGCCTTCTAATGTTCTTCTCTTGGATGCTCTTGCCAAATATGTGCTTTTTGTCTCGAACAGGTATTTTTCCAGATTTCCCTCCATCCATACTCTCTTTTATGCTTTCAGTTTTCTCTTTCCGTTGAATCCCAGAGTCCTTAAATTCTTCTTGGCTTATATCACCAATGTTAATAGGAATCTGATCATCTGCCTTTTGGTCATGTTTTGGTGTCTTCATTGTTTCCATTAGCTCCATTCTACTTTCCTTCACACTTTCTTTAAATCTATCCTCAGTTTTAGACTTGAGTTCTCCAAATTGTTTTTGGTTGGACTCTCCAAGTCTATCTCCCTCAGTAGACACATTGGCTTCGGGAAGCATCTTTCCTGGCTCTTCTCTCTCCATCTTCTTGACAGTACTTTTATCTTCCCACATTTGTTCTATAACAGACTCTTTAGATACTCCTTGGATTGTATCTCCAATATTCTGTGTGACATGTGCACCAACATTCTGCTCTATTTCTGATGTCTTCATTCCTTTGTATCCTGCTATCCCATTCTTTGCTGTCACACTTTCTCCATGTCTATCCTTAATTCCTGACTTGGATTCTTCTTTTTCTTTCTGGATCACCTCTCCATCAAGCATATTTTCACTTACCCCTTTATCTTCCTTGTCTACAAAACCTTCATTGTCCTCCATTTCTTGGACCTCAAACTCTATGTCTTGTCTTGTATCTCCCATATTTTGTGGCATACCTTCACCTGCACTTTTCCCCTTTTCTAAAGTTTTCACTGCTTCATATGCTGCCTTTCCAACATCTTTTCTCGTGCCTTTTAACCTTAGATCCTCATTCTTCAACTTTGATTCTTCAATTTCCTTTCGGCTTGCTTCTCCAATTTTCAGTGAGGTGCCTACACCAACATCTCGCTCTAGTTCTGATGTCTTCATTTCTTCATATTCTTCCTCTCCAAAGCATTCTTCATGTCCTTCTACAGTTCCAACCTTAGATTCTTCTACTTCTTTATGTACCGTATCCTTAATTATTTTCCTGTTGGAATCATCAAGCATCTTGTTAGACACCTCTTCCTTCTTCTCCATGAAACATTCACTGTCCTCCACTGCCTGAACATCAGACTCTTTAGATCCTTTTTGGCTTGTTTCTCCAGCCCCACCAAGAATGTGATCACCTTCACTTTTCCCTTGTTCTGATCTCCTCCTTATATCAGATTCTTCTTCGTTGACTTCTTCAACTTTAGCCCCACAAATTCCTTTAACCAATTTTGGCATGATAATATTCATTATCCATTCCTCCTCATCATACTTCGCTTTGATCCCATCTAATTTCACCCCATCAGGAATTTTGAAAACCTTATTAAACCCTGCAACATCAACCTCTTTCCTATGCATTAACCATCCCATCATCAAAATATTCTGGACAGGCTTTTCTCCACTAATTGATATCTTACTACCATCTTCACTAATCTTGATGTTAATGTTATTCCTCTTATAACCTGTGTTTACATGAATACTTACCATGGTGTTTTGCATAAAGGGTATAAGACAAGAAGTCATAATGAAAAGAAAATAAAGACAGACAAGTACGTCACTTATATGAACGATAAAACTCTCCTTGTGTTTTCTTAACAAGTAATATAAATTTGAATTCTAAGTATATAACTTTATTGAACACTCGGATCGAGAGTTTTGCTATCCATAATAGTATAATAGTTTTGTTTTGCCTAATTCAAGCAAGATTGTACCTTATGAAGAATAAGTGTAATGTCTACTAAAACAAATATAAATCAGTTATGTAAGATGTGAGAGGACTGACCTTTAAGATGAGCAGTGAGAATGAAAGCAGTGTTTGTTTCTCTAGACTGAAAGATAGGTCCTGCTTTTGCTAATCGATACTCGGAGATGGAAGCAATGTCATCTCTAGTTTTAGTGATCTTGAGTCCCAATTCCAGGTCCATCTATGTTGCTGCTATAATATTTTAAGAACAAGGATTAAAAAAATGTGGTGTAAGAGGTTAAAATAAAAAGTGTTAAATTTTTAAATGAGCATCAGAACAGAAACATGATGTTTGAGGCTTCTATCATTGGCTCGTCATGATTGTGTAGTTTCAACAAATGAGAGAAGTATTTATTCTTTTCTGTCACATGTAGTTCATGTGGGTCCCAAATGAGGATGATGCCTATACGGTTTGTGTTGTTCTTTCTTTGGTGGGAAGCTAGTAATTTTCCTTTTTAAGATACCAAAACCTTATGATCATACTAGTTTTTGAAGCTCTATTCATTAAAACTAAACCTTTGTTGAATAGTGTGAAAGACTATATGGTGAGCTTCATGGTTATTGTCTAGAAATGAAATTCCAACACTATTTGTGTCACTCACTGTTATTTTGCTTGTTTCCTGTAGTAAAAACTAGAATTTTAGGTGAAAATAAAATGTAGAAAGTGTTACTTCTAGTTATTTTCATGTTCCGAATTCCATTTTTTTGAAGAAACAGCAAACACTTTTTTTCCTATCCGCCTCTTGTTTTGCTGATCATGATATCTACTCACTATTTTGCTTAATAAATCTTTATTTTCTTTTCATCATGTTAACTCTGCATTAGCAAGAAGCAAGCTAGCTACAACATAGAAAACAACAGGTTTTGACTGCAACGAGTTTTTTTTTTTTTTTTTCAAAATGTATTGTTTGTAGGAAAAAAATAAATAGACAACCGATATTTAACGTACAACTATCTAATTACTTTATTTATTAATATAATAATAATTTTAAATTTTTTAACACATCATATAGATACAATACGATTTTTTTAAGTACTTAACGTGAGAGTATTTAGTTCGGTATAATTCACTTACATATGACCATAATAAATCTCTAAATTACTTGTCTATCATACTTCTTTTTCACACCTCAATTTAAGTTAGTAGAGTTCTTCTTTAACTTTCAATCATTTCATCTATATAATTTCAGTTATTAATAAAGTTAAAATCTCATTGAATTCCAAATCAATATTTATACACATTATATCATACACATGAGAATACATTTTAGTATTTTCCACATTATAACACATCATCACATATATATCAAAAAATAACATGTACATTTCACTCTAACATAATTTAAAAGAAAATATCATAAGCTAAGTATTTAACTAAACATTTTGAATATTGGTCATGCAAATAGTTCTAGTATTTATTTCGGTTTTCAATATTGTTTTAAATTCGTTAAATATAATTAATCTACTAAATACCTTATTTTCAATGTTCCAAATTAAATTGAATCTAAACACTATTTTCAAATAGTTAATTAATTCAATCCAAGTTCAATAAAATCAAACAAAATATTAAAATTTTTAATCTCTTATTAGAAACCAACATAAAAACTCACATTAAAACTTAATTTCAATAAGCTTACATACAATTACACACCTCATTGCTTCCAAGTTAAAAAATTTATCCTTTTTTAACAAAGTCTATATGCAAGCTTTAAAATTTTGATATACTAAGACGTATTTAAATATTAAAAAGAAAGTATCAAAATAAAGTTATAAGGAGATAAATGATTTTGTGATAATAAAATTTGAATAATTAAATTTTTTTATTTATAAGATAAAACTTTAAATTTTTCACTAGATTAATTTTACTTTTATCCCACTTAATCCACATATATATATATATATATATATTCCCATAGAAGCGTAAAACGATTTTTTACGCGTTGAATTCACGAAATATTAAAATGAATTTTAAGTTTAAATATCTAATAACAAGGAACTAGTATAACATTCTACTTATAAAACGTTTAATTTAAGTAGTAAAATAATTGTTTTAAAGTCAATAAAATTTTAAAAATAAACAACTTTATACAATCATTAAGCATAAGAAATAATAAAATTGAAATAATTATTTAATAAACTAAAAATTAAATATTTAAATAAGTTTAAGTCTAATTACATCAACCCTTAAAAAAAATAGTCTATATAAAAAAACAATTTCCAATTCACTAAAGTCAACAAGTGATAAATGATTGAAGAGATATTCTCTTTTTGATACTTTGCGAATTTAGAATTTTAGATTTATCATCCAAAGCCGAAATCATTTAATTAAATGATAATTAACTTGTTTTTTTATCACGTTTAATTTTTTATACATTTATTTTATATAATTAGTTGTATAAAACACACACACACACACAAATTTCCAGATGCCAATATTATTAAAATATTTCTAAAATTAAATTCCAACCACACAAATATTTCCAAATTTAAATTCTTACTATGATCACAATTACTAAATTTTAATACAATTCTACATGTATTCTTAATATCATAATAATTTTAATAAAATTAATATCATTTAAAAGTTTCAGAATTAAATATGTTCTTTTCTTGTATTTTTTTATATTTGATTTTGGTCTTTATATTTAAAAAGTATTAATTTATTCTCCAACAAACCATGTTATTTTAATTATTACTACACTTTACTGATTAATTTTTAGAGAGTTCATAAAATGATTAAATATGATTTTAATTTTTCTTCATATATAAATTTAATATTTAATAATATTTTATTATTATAAATTTGATAAAAATGACTAAATTTACGTAAAATAATTTTAAAATTTTGAGGATTAATTAATAATTTTTTAATATAGAGACCAAAATCATATTTAATATAAAATTTTAATATATTCAATTTAAAAAAAATTAATTTTATTAATATTTTTAAGCACATAATATGATAAATATAATGTTGTTAAAATTTTTTATGATGTATCCATCACAATAACACTTTCGAAGATGTTAAATCTAAAGGTAAACGGTAAGATTTAGACAACTATATTCTATTACATAAAAAATTAAATACCAAATTTTTTTAATATAACTTTTTTTATAAAAAAATATAATATTTTTTAATATCTTTTTATCTCAAATTAATTACATTAACTTTAAATAATAATAATAATTATTCATATTCAAAATTTTTATTATAATTTAGGATGATCATTATAATAATTCTTACTATTTGTTTTTATAATTTATAATAATAATAATAATAATAATAATTATTATTATTATTATTATTATTATTATTGAATTTAGTATATATTTATTATATTATAAAATATTATTTTTATTAAATTCAATGGGATATAATTAAATGTATAAATACTAAATTCATATTTTTACCACTCATTTAATTTTGCATTGATAATAACTATGAATAAATAATTGTTTAAAATGATATAATAAAATATATAATAATAAATAATTATAATTAAAAACAATAAAAGTTAAAAGTATAATTATCCATATATTTGAAGTCGTTATATTTTATTTTATTGTTCGTCTTTGATCATAAAAATAATCACATTTAACAACCAATCAAAGTTTTTGAAGTCACAAGCTACCCTTCAAACCCAACAACAAATAGGTTTCCAATGGAATCACGTTTTTGCATTAATAGTGGGAAATTCACCATTCCAAGTTCTATATATGGACGTGATATACGTTTATATTAATGATTTTAATTTAATGAGCTCAATTTATAAGTTGCCTAATTTAGTTTTTAAACAACTAAAATTGATGTGATTGAATGAGACATTTTCATTATTGACTTCTTACATAATCTTAATTAATGAATATATAAGAAACTAATTGGTTCTCCTTTCCTATCAAAATTAAAAAGGAAGAAACTAATTGCTTATAACTCTTAATATGGCTAAATTTTAAATTTTATTTCCCTTTTTTTTATTTGTAATTGTGGTCATTCTATTTTTTTACCCTGCAACTTTAGTCGTTGGATTTAAAAAAATCCTTTATTTTGGTTTAATTCTTAATTTTGTATATGTTTATTTATTTTTTAATTTGTTTGTCATATGTATATTAAGTTTAGCATTTAATTAGACACAAAAATTGAGATTAGATCAAAATTGTAGAATTTCTAAAGGTGATATTAAAATGATAGAAAAATCAAAATCTCAAATAAAAATTGTAGATTTTGTATATACAAACTTTTAAATCATTTATAATTTTATATTGGTGAGAATATTGGAAAAGAATATTTTCCTCAATTGATCTCATTCACTGATTTGGAATAAATATAATGTACAAGTCGTAATTTTAGGAAACTAATAATATCATACATATATTTAGGAAATTAATTATAAACTAAATATATGTTTACCTAAAATATAATAACAAAATATATTTACATATATCTTAACACACCCACAAGTCAAATTAGGAGGACGATGAACATTGAAACTGTCCCTAAAATCATCAAACAACACATGCGAAAGTCCCTTAGTAAAAATATTTGCGATCCGGTATCGTGAAGGAACGTGAAGAACTCGAACCCGACCATGTGCAACCTTTTTCCGTATAAAATGTATGTTCATCTCAATATGTTTAGTACGTTGATGTTGCACGGGTTGCCTAACAAATAGATAACACTAATATTGTAACAATATATTAGAGTAGCCTTGTAACATCCAAGTATTTCCCAAAAATATTTCATTAATATAATAAAATATTTTGTCATTAACTTTAATAAAATGGTATTATGAGTTATTTTAAGACTTGATAATTTTTAAAGACATTAATAAATAATATATATATATATATATATATATATATATATATTATGAAATTTGTAATAGAGTGAAATAGATAAATTTGGAATTGAGTTTAAAATGAAGTAATAATAATAATAAGAGTAATATCATTAAACAAAATTAGTAATATAATTTCCCATTGTTGAAATGATTTAATTGACAAGTGCAAAAGTAAGTGAGGGTAATTTTGGAAAGGAAGTCAAATTTAAAGAAGAGAAAAACCAATTTTCTTTCTCACTTATGGAAGCCACTTTGGGAGCATGGGAGGAAGAAGAGGAGCTTGTTTTTGCTTACCCACACCATCTTGGTTCATCCTTTTTGCAATTAAGAGTAAGATTCATGA